TACCTGCAAAATAACCTTGTTCCACATGCGAGTATGTCAACCATGCATTAAATGTTTCCAAGTGACTTTTCAAAATGTACCNGTTTTTCATTTTTACCATTTTTAATATGATTTGAATACGGAAATTTGTAGCCAAATTCTGGTTTCCATGGATTTTGTAGAAGTTCAAATTTTATATCATCATTAATTGTTTTATTACTGCTGCCCACATACAGTCCAATATCATTATTATGTACAAAATCCATTTGTTGATAGACTTTTTCATTATTCTTTATCTTGTTATCTTCGTCATTATCGTGCAAAGCTACTTGCTCAAATGATTCATCATTTTTAACAATCACTTTTTCATTATGATTATCGGAACTATCGCCTTCATGTAGTTCTAAAAAAATAAACTAAATTTAACTTAACTCTGAACACTTATTTAACAATTTCTATGCTACTAGTGAACAAATTCATATCGTATGGCGATCTAACCTGGTGGATGTTGTTAAATTTCTTATTACGTAGATCGCTTAATTAATTGATACAATATTGAAAGACATTAATAGACAAGAAATAAACTTTGCAACGTTCTCGACTTGTTTATTATCTACCGGATCAACAGAAAAGGAAAAGTGAAGTTACATACAAAGCAAAGAACATTTGGTCCAAAGAAAATAAATGTATATTATCAATCATAATGTTTTAATATAAAACATAAAAACTTAACACCTTCTCATTTTATTTAAAACATTAGATGACCTTAACCTAAATGTTCTGAAGACCCGTCGCACACATCAGATTCTTTAGTCTTGGTCCTACCATTGGTTTTGTCAGAGCATCAGCAACTTGAAGTTCTGTCGCAACTCGTTCAACTGAAACTTCTTCTTCTGCAACTTTTTCTCTGACAAAGAAATGTCTAATGTGGATGTGCTTTGTTCTTCTGTGAAGTTCTGGATTGTGTGCTAACCGAATTGCTGCTTCATTGTCGACAAAAATTTCTGGTTTTTTCTTTAGATCTACGATGTCGTTCAACAATCGTTTGAGCCATATCACTTCACGAGCTGCTTCACTTGCGGCAACGATTTCTGCTTCAGTAGTTGAAATCGCAACTGAGGGCTGACGTTGGCTAAACCAACTGATCACGCTTCCTCCAAACATACAGATTACACCTGATGTCGATCTTCCACTAGATTTATCTCCTCCATGATCTGCATCACTGTAGGCTATAAGTGTATTGTTTTGACCAGACTTGTAAGCAATACCGACATCAGCTGTGCCTTGCAAATATCTGAAAATTTGCTTAACTTGTGCTACACTGGACTTGCTGGGTTTCTCTAAACTTCTGGATTCTACTCCAACTGCATATGCAATATCTAGTCTTGTTCCCGTCATCAAGTACATCAATGCACCAACTGCTGATCTGTAAGGAAATTTCACTTCCTCATGTTCATTTTTGTTTTCATCGAACTCCTCAGATTTTGAAATCGGAGTTGTACAGGATTTACACTGACTCATCCCAAACTTTTCAAGAATCATTCTTGTATAGGATGACTGACTGACATTAATATTTCCCTTCTCATCTTGATTAATCTCTAATCCAAGGAAATATGTTGCAGGTTTAGATGTTATCTTGATTTTCACTTTAATTCTTTTTCAAATATTTTTAGTTCTTCTTTATCGGTTCCTGCAACTAGTCCATCATCAACATACAGTGCAAGTATGAGTTTCTTTCCTCCCTGTATTCTAATGAACAAACAAGTATCTGCATCGCTTCGTTTGAAATGTCTCTTTTTCAAGAATTCAGCAAAGCGTTTGTTCCAACATCTTGGAGCTTGTTTAAGTCCATAGAGACTTCGCTTGAGTTTACAGACTCTTCCTGAATTATCTTTAAAACCTTCAGGTTGCTCCATGTAAATATCTTCATCTAGTTTGCTGTATAGAAATGCTGTTGACACATCAAACTGCATGAGTGACATCTTTTCATTTGCAGCAACACTTAATAGTGTTCTTATAGTTGAACTTCTGACCACAGGACTATAGGTTTCTTCATAGTCAATTCCCTTTTTCTGAGAAAAACCTTTTACCACTAGCCTGGCTTTAAAACGTTCAACAGAACCATCTGGATTGTGTTTTACCTTGTAGACCCATTTGCATGGTATTGCCTTATGACCTTTTTGAAGACTTACCAAATCCCACGTTTGATTTTCCTTTAATGACTGCATTTCACTGTTCATGGCTTTAAACCATTCATCTTTTTCATCACTTTGAATGGCATCTTTGTAGCTCTCTGGTTCAAGTACTTCACTTAATGCAGGCATAACGAAAGGATCATAACGAGATGGCTTTTTGATATTATTCCTGTCACGTAAAACCATACCTTTGGTCTTTTGATTACAACAGTCAGATTGATCTTCTTCATCAGATGAAAC